AGGAGGCAGAGCCGGCAGCAGGACCTGCTCCCCTTCATCTTAACCCAGATCTCAATCATCCCCGTGCCTGAAACCCTGCGTGCAGACAGCATTTATAAACAAATACTAACCAGCGATCTGGTTTGGGGCATCAGTGAGCAGACCAAGTGTCATAAAAACCTCAAAACTACTTTCAAACACCATTCATTTAGACTTTCTGATGGGATCCCTGCCGTCCAGTATCGGGGGCTGAGGCCAGGGGTGGGGACAGGGCAGAACCCAGGATGCCTGTGTGTGCCCAGGAGCGTCCGAGCTCCTGGTTCTGAAGACTGGCGCCCATGAGTGCACAAAGCAGAGCCCAAGACAGCGCCAGCCGCACACTTCCTGTTGACAGACCTCGGGGCTCGTGCCTGGGGTTCTGCTCAGACCCATCGGAGCCTCAGGTGACAGACAGAGTGTGTCTTTCTTGCGTCCTCACAGGAGCCCATGAGGCAAGCCGACTTCGTCCGCAGCAAGTCTTTCCTGATCACCCCGGCGAAGCCCTCCGTGGACCGAAGGCAGGGGGCCGAGCTCTGCCTCCAGGAGGGGCTGCAGAGAGGGATCTCCTTGTCCCATCAGAACTTGGGTATGAAACCTGCAAACGGTCCCAAACACTCTGACATACGCTTCTGGGGTGGGTCCCACGGGTTTTGTTTTTTGGTGTGTTTGTTTGTTTTGTTTTTCTGAATTATTTGACACATTGATTTGTTAAAATAGCTTTTATTGAGATAGTGCCATAAAACTCACCTGTTTTAAGTGTGCAATTCAGTGAGTACTAATTGACAGTGAGTATATATTTACTGAGTTGTCCAACCAGCACCATCCAATTTTAGAACCTCACCCTAAAAAGCAACTTTGTGCCCATTTACAGGCACTCACCACTCCCCGCCCCACTCCAGGCAACCACGAATCCACTTTCAGTCTCTGCATACTGACCTTTCTTAGACACTTCTCATCCCTGGAATCATAAGATACGTGTTCTTTGGTGTCTGGCTTCTTTCACGGAACATTCATCTCTGACATTCCACGTATCAGTACCTTTTAAATTTCTTTTCAATTATGTAAAATACACATAACAAAACTTACCACCTTAACCATTTTTAAGTGTGCAGTTCAGTTGTGTTAAGAGTATTCACACTTGTACACCCAGTCCCCCAGGCTGCAGTTTTATTCTAGAAGTTTCTCTCTCCTCACTGCATGGGAGCCTCCTGTCAGTCCTTTTGGCACAGATGTTATTCTGGGCCTAAACCTTCTTCACCTTTTCGCGCATTAAGGATTTCATGTTTGAGACCACAGTTAAGACCTCAATGCGTATTTTAAAGAAATGCAGAGGCTTGAGTGAAAATTGAAACGCGTTGCTAGTGTGTGTGTGTTTGTGTTGTCTTCATCCCAGCAGCTCAGTCTGCAGCGATGGCGGAGAGAGACCTGCACCAGCTGAAGAGAGCCAGCTACGCCAGTGCGGAGCAGCCGTCCTGGATGGAACTCGCCAGAAAGAAGTCTCAAGCTTGGAGTGACATGCCCCAAATTATAAAATAGGTTGACAGCGTGTGACAAAAAGTGTCCACCACCTTGACGGGTCCCTTAGTGAAAAACGGCCACTAAAGGCAAAGACACTGAAACGTAAGAGTGATTTTTATCATCCGGTTATGGGAGGGCGGGCTTGGGGAGGAACGAGCCAGCCAAACAAGGACAGACACACAGCCACAGGCCTGGCCAGCAGGGCCCGAAAACAAGAAGACCATTGAAAAGGTGTTCAGGGAACAAGGCCCGGTGCCCAGAGGCCTGAATGCCAGTCTTTCAGAAATCCCTTGATCAAAGGAGCTCTGACACGGAAGAAAAAGGCAATGAAACGCGGATGCAAAACTGGGACCTGGAGAACGTGTGTCTGTGCCCCCAACTGAGATCGGCTTGTGTCTGTGGCCGGGGTCTTGCCTGCGGATCCTGTCTTCTCCTCTCCTTCCCGATGGGGCATGATATTTATGGACGTAAGGATGCCGCTTCCAAGAGCAGCGATAGAGCAGCCGGTGTTCCTGAGCACAGTCCCTCTGTGAAGGGGCGGGAAGCACACAGCAGGCGCATCAGCTCATAGACCGTTTCCAGCAACAATTTTTAAATTTTTCCATGAGGCATCTGTGTCCTTAACCGTTGCACAACGCATTGCCTGTTCAATAAAAGGGTTCAAACACGCTTCTGTCGGATGGTATTTCTACTCACATTTAGAGAACGTCCTCCAGCCCTGAGTTAAATGCAAAGTATAGTGGTTCATTTAATAGACGTCTCACTTAAAATCTCTATTGGGTGGATTTTGGAGTTTGGGTTTTCCTTAGACTTTTTCTCCCAATAAAATTTTGGTGTTTATTTTGTTAATTCCCCTTTTTTAAAATATATTTTATTGATTTTTTACAGAAAGGAAGGGAGAGGGATAGAGAGTTAGAAACATCAATGGGAGAGAAACATCGATCAGCTGCCTCCTGCACACTCCCCACTGGGGATGTGCCCGCAACCAAGGCACATGCCCTTGACCGGAATCAAACCCGGGACCCTTGAGTCCGCAGGCCGATGCTCTATCCTCTGAGCCAAACCGGTTAGGGCTGGTGTTCATTTTGGAAACCAGAAGTTCATATAGGTTTTTTTTCTTCTTCTCATCTATTTGGTACAACATATAAAACTATGAAATTTCCCAAAATGTTACAATTCTTTGTCATCAAATTAATCTAACTTGCATATTTCTGTTAAAGACTAGGTTTTCAATTATTAGCCAGGATGGTTCATGAATACAGAATGTGGAGAAGCCAACAGAGAAAGAGCATATATTTTGGGAATCTCAGATTCATGTCTCAGTTACATAATACCTCTATTTTTAAAAAACATTTCCAGTTTGTTCTTTTGAACAAGCTAATCTCCATGGGAATAAGTATATAGCTGTGAACATTCAGCCATCAGAATTAGTAAGACCTCATACGCTAAGTTTTGATACTTTTACTGCATTTTTTTTCTTTATGAATAATTGTTTTTCTAGCTGTTGCAACTACACAATTGAATCAGTCCGCCTTCCTTGTGAATGTCCTGGGATAGTTTTTTTTCCCAACCACGTTGATGTATTAATTCCACTGTCTCAGCATCAGTACGGAATGGCAGGGTGAATGCTCTGAAGAAGAACTCCAGCCATGTAGGCTTGCTCTAAAAGCTTAGGCATGAATAGATTCAACTGGAAAAAATGTCACGTTGGCTGTTATTACCTGAGACCATCCTTTCTCCCTAAGACTACAGGGACTGTCTCCAGCTCGAGCAAGGCTGCCAATTTGAGGAGAGCAAGGCTCCCTCACCCACACGGAGGAGACGATGCTCATCTCCTTCACAGCAGAGAAATCGTCAAGAAGAAAAACACTTGAGCTAATAGGGGTGCCCCTGCAATTTTAAGAAAAATGCACTCTGTGAGGTGGGCCCTAGATCTGCATCAGTTTTCAGTGGGAGACGGAGGAAGAAACACGGGAAAGGCAGTGATCTTTGTACTGGATCCTAAGAGAGGCGATAGGGACATATTTCTGTGGCAGCCTGCAGTGGCTTTACATGTGCCACAAATGATCGGACAGTCCTCGCTTCAAAAAGGGGAGCCTAATTTGCCTTCCCTGGTTGTGAGACAGACTCAATGCTCATGTCTAACTCCGGCATGTAGCAGAGCTGACCTGTGTGACTTCTGAAGTGAGGTGATGAAGGCGTTGCTGCCCTCACCCTGCACTCTTTAGGGCTGTCCTCTCGGAGAGAAGTCAGTCGCCAGGGCTTTAGGGCTGTCCTCTCAGAGAGAAGTCAGTCGCCAGGGGTTGAGAAGCTATAGCAGCCTGTGCAGAGGCCCAGGTGGGAAGAACGGAGACCTCCTGCTCTGGCCTAAGTTGTGCTCCCCCCGCCCCCCACCCCATATACAAATTATATGTGGGCCTAACCCAGTGTTTCAGAATGTGACTGTATTTGGAGACAGGACCTTTCAAGAGGAAATTAAGTTAAATGAGATCATTAGGATGGACCCTAATCCAATATGACCGGGGTTCTTATGAGAAGGAATTTGGCACAGAGACACACAAAGGGAAGACCATGTGACAACACGAGGAAAACACAGCCATATAGCAGCCAAGGACAGAGGCCTCAAGAAATCAACCCTGTCAATATCTTGATCTCAGAAATTCAGCCTCCAGAACTGTGAGACAACACATCTCTGTCGTTTAAGCCCCTAGTCTGTGGTACTTTGTTATGACAGTGGGAGCACACTAATACATCTCCTGTCAATCGCCAGCACCAACTTGCCAGCCATGTGAGTGAGCCCCTTAGAATTGGCTCCTCCAGCCCCAGTCAAGCCTTCAGATGAGTGCAGCCCAGTTGACATACTGACTGTGACCTCACGAGAGATCCCAGGCCAGACTGCCCAGCCAGGCTGTTCCAAAATCCTGACCCACTGGAAATGTTAGGTAACGAATGTTTGTTATTGTTTTAAGCCACTAAGTTTTGGAGTCATTTGTTACTTAGCAACAAGTATCTCATAGGGCAGTTTTATGTTCTTTTTCTCGGTCATAAAGTGAAAAGGCCTTACCTGTTTTCCCATTAATATTTTAGTTGGGGTTAAGAGCATAACCATATGCACAGTCTGAGAGAAATGTATTTAATACCTCCCAGGCTACAATCTGTCTGAGGTTGTGGCGCAGAGACAGCTAGGGGGGCACACCAAAGACCTGTCATCGCCTCGCATAATCTGGAAGCAGAAGTCCAGCCAGAGACTACATCTCCAGCTGCACCCACTCCCGGCCAACCCACACCCCTGCTTGTACGTGGGACCCAGCCACCGAGTTCTGGCTGACGGGCTGAGAGCAGAAGTGATGGGCATCCCATATACAAAGTTGTGTCTAGAAGGGGCCAGGGAGGCAGCCAAGAAAACAAGGAATAGCTTTCAGAGAAAGGGCATGTTCAGCTCAGAGAGGCCAAGGGGAGACAGGAGAGGTTCCTGCAGGCGCCTGAAGGAAGAGGAGAGAATTGACTTACTCTGCGTAACTCCACAGGGAACAAACCAGGACCAGAAGGGGACATTCCAGAGGAGGACAGAGACAGGTTTACCTGTTAGAGTTGCCCAGCATGGGGCGGGATGCTGGCCAGCAGTGAGCTCCCTGACCTCCAGGTGAGCAAGCTGTGAGGGTGGGTGGCCAGCCCAGACGGAGCCACTCTACATCTACAAAGCAGGGCCTTTCACTTTCACTTTGTAATGTAATTACATTATGTGGCTCTTAATACTAATTATAACCGAGAAGTAACCATCCAGAAAATGATCCAAATGGGCTTTTATGCGGACTGTGGTTGTTCAGAGTGCTTTGAAAGCTCTTTATTACCAGAAGGAAGCCAGGCAGAAGCAGCCAGTCAGCAGATGGGCCTGCCCAGCCCCCTCCATGGTTGTACATCAGGGGGGCTGGGGGAGGATGGGGAGGCGCGGAGCCGATCTGCTTCCCCGCCCCCGCCCCTGAATCTTCTGGCGGTCCTGCTGAACTCCCTGGCAGAGGGAATAGTGATTTATTCCCTGGGAGGTGAAAATAGTCTGCAGTGAATAGATTTATTAGGATCAAATAGCAGGAATCGCGCGCTGCTGGTTTGGGGAAGTAGCGCAGGTGCTGAGCAGCGGCTGGCTTTTGCTTTCCCTGCCTTGTCTAGCTTCCTTCCTGCCAGCTCCTTGGGGAAATGACCGTGAGCGTGGGCGCAGGGGAGAGCTGTGCTGTGATGCCCAGATTATTAGCGACAGCAGCACTGGGGCTGGGTGTTGGGCGCGCTCCAGTTTGCGTGTGCACCCCCCCTGCGAGCACCGGAGGCCCCCACACCGGCACCTCGGCTACGACACGTGCAGAAAAGCAAAGTCAACACTCAGCCCTCTCTCCACTAAAGAACAAGTTGCCCTGAAGGATTTTCCCACAGGAAAAGGAATTCTGATGTTCAATGTAGGAAAATGCAAAATTGCTACCGGGACAGAGGAAGTGAGGGGCAATTCACGAGGGAGTCCTTTAGACAAAATAAACCCAATCTTGCAAACGCTGAAGCCTTTAAACTCGGGCTCTCCATCTTCCTTCCCGAGGGAGGGCGAGGAGAGAAGTGATCAGAGGGTTTTCACTGCTGCCCACCCCGCACTTCATCTGTCAGGTCCTCTGGAAGGATCAGGCCTGTCCCTGGGGGCACTGCCCAGGCTCCCCAGGCCTAGCAGGAGGCTGAGGGCGGCCACCACCACCACCCTAATGGCGGGCAGCCCCCCAGAGCCCCGGCCTCACACCGCCCTGCCCCGGGAGCACTGTCCTCTGGTGCTGCTGAGATGCTGCAGCCCAGGACACATTGGTAACGCATGTGGGCGAGGCACTGAATCAACGGTGGCCAAGTTGGGAGCTGGCTTTCCTGGCAGTGGCTGCAGCCAGGTCCTGGGTCACCTGGGCACCTTGAATGTTCCGGGAGCTCCTGCCCTTCCAGGCCACGGTTCCGTGCATCCCCGAGGCCGCCCACTGGGCGCAGCAGGTTCCGCAGCTCTCTTCTCCTTGGGGTCCTGTCCCCTGGGTGCTGGGCTGCTAACACTTACGGGCTGGTGTCCCCCACATTCACCTGTTGAAGTCCCAACCCCAGGATCTCAGCTTGTGACTGTATTTTGAGAGCGGGCCTTGACGGGGTGATTAGGTGAGATGAGGTCACCGAGGTGGGTGGTAATCTTAGGATGGGGTCCTAACAGGAGAGGAGCGCACAGACACGCAGGGAAGACCATGTGGGGACAGAAGGACAAGACGTCTCTCCGCACACCAAGGAGAGGGGCCTCGGAGGAGCCGGCTGTGCCGACACCTTGATCTTGAGCTTCTGTCCTCCAGAGTTACAAGAAAATAGATTTCTGTTGTGTCAGCCACCCCGTCTGCGGTGCTCTGTGAAGGCAGCCGGAGTAAGCGAGGCACAAGTCTGGTGTGGCCTACGCAGGGTGGGGCTGCCTCTCTGATTCTGGCCGGGAGAGGCGGCCTCTTGGGCGCCCCTGACTCGGAGCCTTGTGCTGAGACACAGGAAAGGTCAGCTTCTTTTCTTGAGCAAAAGCTTTGATACTTCTGGCCGGTTATTGTTTATTGAGGAAAAGAGAACAATCCCCAGTTTTTAGTGCCCTCTCCCTGCTTCTGATAACTTCAGCCTCTGAACCGCTC